AACCAGTGTAAGCTCGTATCTCGACTTCATCCTCGTTGTTTCAACTTTATTATCCAGACCGCATGCCACTCGTCATTGGGACCTTCATTTCCCGTCATGTATACGATCAAAGTTGATGACCGTCCACGACAACGCTAGCAAAGCAGCATGTCGTTTCCTGGACATCAAAAGGGGGCAGGAGATGAAATCGGGAAAGAGCTTGATAGTATGCTTATCCTCTTCACGCTCGTGATATGCCTGCCTTACGTCTTTTGCATTAGAATCAACAAGAGATGTCTGTGGTTATCCACCTCGCCCGTATATACAACAAGCAGGGCAAGCAGTACAGGATCCTCACTCCATATGATGGTCAGAGGTCTTCGATCGAACGTCAACTTGAATTAGCGAATCTTCCGTGGGCAGACAAGTGCTTCGACGTGAACTCCTTCCAAGGCAGTAGTTTCTTTGACATGCTGGAAGGATCTGGCTGACACCCCGCAGGAAACGAGGAAGACCACATAATCGTCTCTCTAGTCCGTACCCAAGGTGTAGGGTTCTTGAAGAACTCGCGCAGGACGAATGTCATGCTGACACGATGCAAGAAAAGCATGATCATTTGCACGAACCGTGATTCGTGACGAAGGGTAAAGTAGCAAGCACGCTGGTCGGGCAGCTTGCTCTTACCATGGGCTCTGATTCCTGGTTGGACAGTCGTGATATAGTCAATGGCATTTTAAGGTGATTTGGATTATTTACCTCGCACTTGTTGGTTGAGTTTTGAAACTTTCTTGTCGCATCTTGCACTGCATTTTGTATTATATGGCAATTTGCGTATGTACATGAAGTCAGCGTCTACGTAGTACAGAGACTCGTTATATTGAACCACATGCATATGGGAACTTGCAAGTAATACTGTAGCTACTCAGAGTATTGAACGGCGCTGCGCTCCCCGCAAGGTTTAGTCCAAAGTCCGACGATTATCTAAGCTTACCGTTTTTAGTATGTGGGAGGTGTGCGGCCAAGGAGGATCATAGGCGCCAGCATGACATCAGGATTCAGCCTGCTCAAGTCTTTATTTGAGCAAATCGAGCCTCAGGTAGGCTCATACAAAATTTGTTATCAAGCCTGTCATGATGATGTATGCAGAGCAGAGCTCCCATCGACACAAAACTGGTCGTTCCCATGGATCACGCATGAATGCGCGACAGCAAGAGTGAACGGATCATCAAAAGAGAAAGGCGGGTACTTCATACATAGCGCTAACTGAGCCAAACGGAAGATGAAGAAGGACACGTTGAGACTGGGGAAAATGGTGATTCGGTAGACGATGATAACCATGAGATGACAGAGACGAAACAAGGCGAACCTTCTGATGCTCAACATAAAGCTGCTGGTCAGTTTTCCTACATGTATAATTTTTGGGTTGGATTCTATCTTGCTTCGCAGGACGCTATATCCTGCCGGGATTGAGGAAACAAGCCAATGGCGATACAAATGAAACGGAGGAACAACTCAAACTCACTCGCCAGCTGAAAGGCCTGATAAACAGGTAGTATCTTATTGTATTGCCGTGGTCTGTACTAATTTTGTCTCGCCTTAGAATGTCTGAACAAAGCATTGCAACCGCCCAAGACCTCAACCCTCACGAACCTCATCATTGATGGCATATCATCTCACTCAACCCTTCTGGACTCATGCGTGGTCCTGCACGCGCGTTTATATCTAGCCTACATAAATTGACCTGCACTGCATTTGGTACCTGTCTTGTGAAATGAAATTCTATCACCTGAGCTGATGCACGCACGTCATACGCTCAGCGGCGTATTTCGTTCAGAACGCAATGTCCTCGTACGAACGCCTCGCTTCGGTGGAAGAAAAGTCAGTCAACTCAAGGGAAGTCTCTGAAGACCTAGGGAAAGAGTATTCCAACCTCATCGTGCTTTTGTCAAAGCTGTACAATTTTCAAGTCATTTCGTGCATTCTCGTTTAACATGCGTCGAGAATAGATACTATCAAACTTACTTCGAAGAAGTTTCAGCAGAAGTTCTACCCAGAACTCAGATAGGTCTTCATCCAAAAGGCTGCGGATATATCATAAACGTGTGCTAGGTTCCGGCCAACAACCACGACAAGATGATAGCGATGTAGGAATGTCAAACCCATGTCGCCTTTACGAATGGAGCACGTGGCCAAAGCATACGCATAGTGGATAGCTAATGATTGTTGTACATAGGCTGACGATCTTCAAGGTGAGCCTGAGCAGTTCACGCAAGGAGTTGCTGAAACGAGGATCCTTACAGCCTGTGAACTTCACGATGTTTAAGCCACAGACGCGCACATTCTTGAAAGAGCTGTTCATACGGTTGTTTACCGCTAGCCAGGTTACATCACTGATTATCGATGAGTGATGGGACCCACGAGTTTGCACAGGAGTTGAACACGCCTACTGTTCTTCCGTACCTTCGAGGGCTCGAGCTCTGATGTGTCCATGACGGTTTTGGAAGTGATTTTGGAATTGCAGCCAGTCGTTGACAACTGTCACAGAATGAAAGGCGCAACTTAGTATGCCGGTCAGCTTCTTTGACATGCAGAACCGTTGCATGCAGGACAGGGTGGCTGTCTCAACTTTTGATAAATATGTGAATGAACTCTAAGAAGCAGAATCAGACAGCAGGTGATGTAGCGGGCCAGGACAAAAGGAGCGAGCGATGATATTCTTTAAGATGGATATACCTGCTCAACCTGTTGCCTTCGAGATTCATCCTGACATTGACATCAACTCGAAGGCATTGAAGGATGTGATCTTTACTAACCCAGTTTCTGCAGTCTCCATTGACCTATCATTTGTGTTGTCTCCACAGATGACGGAGATGCAAATTGGAATTATTAAACTCGCAAACGACCTTCTTAACAACAAGTTGCCATTAACCACGTTTTTGTCGTCAACAATATCGTAATGATTAAACGCAATAGTCACAAAGTCGGAAGAGCTTGATTACGCAGGTTAGTTTTGGTCCTCTCTGCTTCATTTCCGGCCCAAACTCATCAAACTCAACACATCCTCCGCAGTTCGAAGACATGTCTGTCCACCCAAATTGGTAGTAGGGGAGCTCAGGGTAGGCCGTTGTTCGCTTTCGCTGTTGCCGCACGTGAACCCGCAGGAAGAATGAAACAGGTGCACGATGTCAAGAGATGCTACAATTTGAAGGGAAAGGGGAAAGTACTGCAGCATGCAAAATGTAGGATGTGGATGCATGCAGGAGCCAGTTGGGAAGGGTGCAGAAGAAATGAGAGGGAGCGCTAGTCCGAAGCTCAGCGAACTAGGGCAGGCCAGGCAGGCACCGAGGAAGGCAAGGGAAAGGAGGTTCCTATATTTATCAGGACTTCACTAAGGAAGCTTCCTGTCGACTTCCTGTGAAGATTTGCAGCGTGTATGTGATCCTCGATCCCAGATGCTGTCTGCCTACATATGATATCATGTCCGCTGACACAATCACTGAGCCTTGCTCACAGCACTGGCACGTCGCGCAGATATACCAAGGTGTGTTTTTAACCGCTAATTGTACGACAATATCTCTTACCTGTACTCTACTCTATCCTATAATCTAACCGCACCCAAAACACCCCTGCGAGGCGCGACTTGCGCATATTTCCGAAGTTCGCATCCAGGTTCTCTTCCCCTTTCTTCCAGAGACTCATTAGCACGGTGATCTAGATTACATCTGGATACAAACTACGAACTATTCACAAACGCAGACACTCCAACTCCGCAAAAGACAATGTTGCCGTATTCTTCATGACTGAGTGGTGATCGATCATCCATGATCACCATCAAAACCCTCGTAAGTCAGGAACAATACCTGCGTTTTCTTGACTTATCACACTAGACCTTCAATTGCTTACGCGCAAAATTCAGCCCAATATTGTTTACACCTACAAGTTGGATGCAAAATGATGCTGAAAGGCGTTTGAATGGTATTGGATTTCAAGCAAAACTAGTTACTCTGGAGTCCGGGATACTGGACACACAAAAGTATCAATTTGTGCTTTGTTCTTCAAATTTCACGCACAGCCCATGCGTGGTTCCCCGTTCCTCTTTCACTGTTGACTTACTGTAAAACCCCGTTGCCATTCATTGACAGCAGACGCTCATTCAGCAATAAATAGCTGTAACCTTGGATGGCGATTCCTACATCCTCACTTTCGTTGCATTAACATCGTACGCTTCCAAGTACTCTCTCTATCTTTTATATCCATGGCCTACACATCCGTCACTCTGCAACAGAACGTTTATAAGGCCCACCATGAGCCTATAACCGTTGAAGACGTCGACGAGAACAATGTTTCTTCTCCAGCCTTGCAGCGTCTTATCGACTCAGCTCAAGACGCCACCGTTGGGGTGGCAGCCACGTATCGCTCCAACTGTTCTCTTTCCTCATTAGCATTTGCCACGCTCACCAGAGCGCTCATCGTCCACTTTGCTGCAAAGAAACAGAATCCGCAGCAGAAGAAGAAGAAGGGCCAGGAACAACAGCCTCCTGTTTCCCAAGGACGTATCCTCATACAAGACCAAATTCTCTGTAACGTTGGCATTAAACTCTATGGGTACAGGATAGACAGAATCGCACTTGCCCTCTTCCTAGACTTATCGCTTCGTATCAATGGCGCAATCGACATCCTGTCGGTGTCTACCAGTGATCGGCGCTCACTCCAGGCAATTACGAACGCCTTAGGCGGCGAGGAGTTACTCAAGAAGGACAACGTGAAAACCCTGTTCGCTCATAGAAAACGGGACGCAGCATCCAAGGATGTGGCGCTCCAGGCTTGGGCAGCATGTCGCGCTACCGCATTTGATAACATGAGGCTTAGATTTGCTGCTATATCTCGAATCGACACAGACACGATGCCAGATATAGTAGGTAATCTTTGTCACGTCATGAACTCCTCCTAATTCATAATATAGCATCTGAGCGCCCTCGCCAAGACCTCTCGTGATGCTGAAATTTTGGAGTCTTTGAAGCCAACGAAAGTCGTCAACAATGTCAAAGCAGACTCCATCAAGAAGGGCAGTGTCGATCTCGAGTGCACTCGCTTCAGTACGCGTATCATGAAGTCTAAAAATCAAGTATGTAAATTCATGAAACGTCATGCCACCAACATTGAACGTTCGCACTGACAGGTCATCCAAATCGAAATGCTGAACGGGAAAAAGCGGTCAACGATCACTGGTCGCGCAGAGCGAATAGATGGAAAACAGGCACATATCAATGTCCAAGGCGTAAAAAATGCTTCGGGCAAAATCCTCTCCGTGACCACCATCGGGAAAGAAGACTTGACGGCTGCTGAATCGGCCAGAGAAGATGTAGTACTGAAGGCGCTTCAGGGCACCATCACGTTGACCGAACATCCATTCTTCTGTAGTATCTGGGCGCCGTCATTAAACATCCCATGGCCGCCTCTGCATGCTCCCACCGCGTCGCTCGTCCACTATCCTAACGGTCAATTGAATCCCTCGCAGTATGAAGCAGTGGAACGAATTATTTCGCAAGCGGACAGGGACCGTGTATTGCTTGTTCAAGGCCCTCCTGGCACTGGCAAAACAACGGTCGTAGCGGCCAGTGTCAACAGTATGATCACCACTGGCCCTATGGAGCGTACGATTTGGCTTGTGGCACACTCCAACGTTGCCGTCAAGAATATTGCAGAAAAGCTCGACAAGGTTGGTTTCCGTGAGTTTAAGCTTCTTGTATCGAAAGATTTCCATTACGACTGGTATGTCGCGCCTTTCTCACCTCCCCGTCATACTGAGTTTTTGTGTCTCAGGCATAAACACCTCTACGAGAGACTGGAACATTGTTTTATACGATCAGACATGTTCGGTGGCAGGGCTGTTACCGCTAGCCAGCACTTGCTCGACAAACACACAAACAAACCTACAAGAGTCGTACTTTGCACGTTGAGTATGCTGTCCAATCCTCGTATCGAAGATTTTACTCGTCAAGTCCCGGTTCACACCGTGATATTCGACGAGGCAAGTCAAATCGAAGTGGGAGAATACCTGCCGCTGCTTCAGCGTTTCCAGCACAGCCTCAAAAAAATGGTGTTCATCGGTGACGACAAGCAACGTGAGACCCGAGTAGTTATTCCATCGTTGACCTGTACTGACTTGGATATCAGTGGCGCCATTCGGCCAAGATGACATTGGGCAGCTACGAAGTATTTTTGAGTTCCCGCACCTTCGAGAGCAGGCACACTTTTTGGATACCCAGTGTAAGCTCGTATCTCAACTTCATTCTCCTTGTTATTTCAACTTCATTATCCAGACCGCATGCCGCTCGTTATTGGCAGCTTCATTTCCCGCCATGTATACGATCAGAAGTTGATGACCGTGCACGATATCACTAACAAGGCAGCATGTCGTTTCTTGGATGTCAAAAAGGGCAAGGAGGAGAAATCGGGAAAGAGCTGGGCAGTACGTTTCTCCTCCTGACCATCGTGATATGCCTGCCTCACATTGTTTGCATCAGAACCAACAGGAGACGTCCATGGTTATCCACCTCGCCCGTATATATCACAAGCAGGGCAAGCAGTTCAGGATCATCACCCCGTATGATGGTCAGAGGTCCGTCATAGAAAAGCAGCTTCAATCAGCGAAGCTTCCATGGGAAGACAAGTGCTTCAACGTGGACTCCTTCCAAGGCAAGTACTAGTAGTTCCTCGACGTACTGGGAGGATCTTACTGACGGTCACCGCAGGAAACGAGGAAGACCACATAATCGTCTCTCTAGTCCGCACCCAGGGTGTAGGGTTCTTGACGAACATGCGCAGGATGAACGTCATGCTGACACGATGCAAAATGAGCATGATCATTTGCACGAACCGTGATTTCGTGACGAAGGGTAAAGCAGCAGACACGCTAGTCGGGCAGCTTGCCCTTACCGTGGACCCTGATGCCTGGTTGGACAGTCATGATATAGTCAATGGTATCTTAAGGTGATTTGGACTATTTACCTCGCACTTCTTGGTTGGGTTTTGCAACTTTCTTGTCGCATATTGCACTGCATTTCGTATTATATGGCAATTGATGTATGTACATGCTGCAAGTCAGCGTCTACATAGTACAGAGACTCGTTATATTGAACCACATGCATATGGGAACTTGTACTTGGTGTGCGCATCGATGTTATAGGATACACACGACAAACAAACCTCCAGGAGGCCGCCATCTCGGTGTCAAGGTCGGGCACTGAGTACTGAGTATTGATCACACAAAATCTGAGTCTGTCACTGCTCCACAGCAATATACACTGAAGAGGAATAATGTACCACGAAACGTCGGGCAGTGTACTACTGCATCATGATAGTAAGCCCTTTGTGGTAGAACCTAACCCATTGACACCAACGTTTAGAAGGTGGACAGAGCTAGTCAATGGTTTGGATACCAACTACTATTAGCTTCCACTAGTACTGGTCTGGGCGCCATTGACGAATATTGAATCTGGGCACAACATCATGATGAGTCGAGCGAGCTGGGCGTTGTATGTCGCCGCATGATGATAATAAATAATGATAATAATAGGTGTTGTTCAACAAGTGCAAACAACCATCCCATCACCTTCCTATTCTGTGCGGCCAAGGAGCGATCATAGACGCATCAGCCTGCCCAAATCTTTATTTGAGCAAATCAGCTTATAGCCTCAGGTAGGCTCATACAAAATTCGTTCTTGGGCCTGTCGTGAGGATTTATGCAGAACAGAGCTCCCATCGACATAAAACTAGTCGTTCCCATACATCACGCAAGAATACGCGAAAGCAAGAGCGAACGGATCGTCAAAAGATAAAGGCGGGCTACTTCATACATAGCGCTAACTGAGCCAAACGGAAGATGGAAGAAGGACACGTTGAGGTTGGAGGAAATGGTAATTCGGTGGACGATGATGACCATGAGATGACAGAGACGAAACAAGGCGAACCTTCCGATGCTCAACCTAAAGCTGCTGGTCAGTTTTCCTACATGTATAATTTTTGGGTTGGATTCTATCTTGCTTCGCAGGACGCTATATCCCACCGGGATTGAGGAAACAACCCAATGGCGATACAAATGAAACAGAGGAACTCACTCGCCAGGTGAAAGGTCTGATAAACAGGTAGTATCTTATTGTATTGCCGTGGCCTGTACTAATTTTGTTTCGCATTAGAATGTGTGAACAAAGCATTGCAACCGCCCAAGACCTCAACCCTCACGAGCATCGTTATTGATGGCATATCATCTCACCCAACCCTTCTGGACTCATACGTGGTTCTGCGCACCGCATTTATATCTAGCCTACATAAATTGATCTGCACTGCATTTGGTACGTATCTTGTGCAATGAACTTCTACCACCTGAGCTGATGCACGCACGTCATACGCTCAGCCGCGTATTTTGTTCAGAACGTAGTGTCCTCGTACGAACGCCCCGCTTCGGTGGAGGAAAAGTCGGCCAACTCAAGGGAAGTCTCTGAAGACCTAGGGAAAGAGTATTCCAACCTCATCGTGCTTTTGTCGGAGCTGTACAATTTCCAAGTCATTTCATGCATTTTCGTTTATGATACATCCGCGGCCTTCTGGATAAAGACCTATCTGAGTTCCGGGTAGAACTTCTGCTGAAATTCTTCCAAGTAAGTTTGATAGTATCTATTCTCGTAGCATGTTAACCGTGTGCTAGGTTCCGGCCAACAACTACGACAGGATGATCCCATGGCATTGAAGGACATCGTAACTTTAGCACAGACCGGACAAGCCGATACTATGAGGTACCACACTTCATCATCTTTATTACGGCATTCTCACTGCAAAACACAGTTCACGCACGCGTTTCATGATCGAGACCCTAAATAATCTGAAGAACAATAAAACCAAGAAGACGGCTGCGACACAGCATCAGGGGGGCGATGCGGTCGAGCGGATGAAGAAGTTTCTCTCAGGGTTGGGAAAAAAGAAGCACGGTATGTCGTTCCTCCGTTGGGTTATTTAGGAGGGTGCTGAGGTGGATGCAGTTCTCGCGCACGAGCCGTTGCGGGTATCTTTGGAGGATCTTCATTCGGCGGAAAGCAAAGGAAAGTGGTGGCTCATTGGGGCTGCTTGGGGTGGAGATCCTCTGGCCGATCAGCCGCGCGAAGTTCCCCAGCATAGTGGGGAACCGGAGACGGATGACGTCAGCACTGCCGCGCTTCTAAAGCTCGTGAGGAAAAAGGGCATGAATACAGATATTCGTCGAAGTATCTAGACGCTTGCGAACGACTTGCGCAACTCGGCCTCACGGAAGTACAACAACGCGAGATCATCAGAGTAAGCCTGCATTGTTGTGGAAATGTACGTGATTCCATAGGATTTTGCATCGCCGTCGTTGGCTGAACCAGTTTCGCAGGAAAAATCTTATAACCCGTATTACACGCTTGTCTGTCAGAACCTGTCCCAGCGTTAGCATTCGTACAAGGTCACATTGCAGTTCTGTTTATGGGACTTTCTTCGGGACTTGGGCGAAAGTAGCGTTGGTGGGGTGGAGGTGATCAAGAGCCTGAAAGATAGCGATGTAGGGTTTGATGTCAAATCTATGTCGCCTTCGCGAATGAAGAACGTGGCCAAAGCATACGCATGATGGATAGCTAAAGATGATTGTAGGCTGACGATCTTCAAGGTGAGCCTGAGCAGTTGGCGCAAGCAGTTGCTGAAACGAGTATCTTACAGCCCGTGGATTTCACGATGCTCAAGCCACAGACACGCAGTTTCTTGAAAGAGTTATACATACAGCTGTTTATCGCTAGCCAGGTTACGTCACCGATGCTCAGCAACGACTCCGGCGACTATCTTCCCTGAGGAACCGTGGATCACTCGAAGAGATCTTCTTGAAAACGCCCAGGATCGAAAACCTGGGTCTTGGATTGGTGTTCTTCATGTCTAATACGTTCAAAGGAGAGGATGGGTTCTTGACTTGGGCTAGCTCGGTGGCAAAAGAGACGCTACAGACTGGAATGGAAGAATATAACAATGCTTGATTACGCAAATTTCGTAAATGCCGCACTAGAACATGCACTCCCGATGCTCCCGCCGAATGAAATAGTTGGGTGCTCTATACGAGAACTTCGGCGAGAATATCAGCATGTGGTTTCTTTACGAAATGTACGCCACATACTGGTACTGCAGGCCGGTTTCTTCGGTAATGAACTTTGATTGTAACTCCAATTCAGTAAAGTTACAAGCTGGGGTGATTAAAGGGCCCTTATTCAGTTTCAAAGCCAAGTGACATGATGCATACGCACATGTAATTAAAAAATGCCCGCCTGGATTCAAAAGCTTCGCGATACGCATCGGATAACCTTCTGCTGGGATCCTTCCGTTCTCATCCTTCTCCATTAGCGCGATGGCATCGTATGTGCCTTTATCAAGGATAAGATCCCAAGCTCCATTCTGGTTAGCTTTCTGATCATCTGCGAGCAACGGTGGGTCCTCATGCAGGAAATCGCACACTCTAAACGTAATGGCCGTAAGATTCCGAGAATGCGCCACCGATTGAGCGAGCTGGACAGCTCCTTCACTATAATCAATTCCTAGGAGTCGATGTGCTGGATAACACGCCTCTCTACGCCCCTCCGCTAGCGCGAACAATAGTGCACCGTTCCCACTTCCAACTTCAAGGACTGACATATCAGGGTGTGGAGGGGCGTGTTGATTCGCCCACTTAACCATCTCATTCATCGCCTTTTTGCCGAACCTAGGCGCCAGAAATACGGATGCAATGGAAGTGGTGTTAATACGCACCATATTTCACCCTCGTCACCATTTTCACTGAAGTTCTCCAATTCTTCCTCGTAGACGTTATCCCAACTGATTATCGATAAGTGATGGGGCCCACAAGTTTGCACAGAAGTTGAACACGCCTACTGTTCTTTCGTACCGAGCTTTGAGGGCTCGAGTTCTGATGTGTCCATGACGTTTTTAGGACTGATTTTGGAACTGAAGCAAGTCATTGACAACTATCACAGAATGAAAGGTGCTGCTTAGTAAGCCGGTCAGCATGCGGGTTGCATGCTGTCTCGAATTTTGATAAATATGTGAAGGAACTCTGAGAAGCAGAATCGGACGGCACGTAGTATAAGCGAGCCAGGACCAAAGGAATGAGTGATGATATTCATTATGATGGATATATTAAATGGGATAGGAATACAGAGTAGACTTGAGATATCTGAGTAATTCTCCTAGTTTAAGAGCATGGAAACGACTTACCGGTACCATAAGTAACCAACGAATGAGAATTGAAAGTTATCTCGACTTTCCATCTGTCTTGTCTAACAGGTCCTTAGCTTCGTTGATTTTACTCGCTATGTATGGCGAACCCCCACGGTCAGGGTGGTTTGCGAGCATGATGTGACGGTGGGCATCTTTCAACTTGTTGCGCAGTGTTATGCCATCTCTGCAAAAAGTACTGCCATCAGATACTAGGTGATAGATAGTGCTGAAAGTGCAAACTTTAGCCCAAGGATTGCAATAGCCTCCTTGCGATCCATTTTCGCTTTAAAACCACCCTTGACCCACTGGTCTGCTGCCCGCTTTCCAATAATACCATTGCGCAGAAGATGTCGACCAACGAGAGCAGCTGTGATAGCTCCAACACCGACAATTACAGGAGTTGCCATGAGAGGAAAAGAAGAGAGCGGGTGTGGCTGTGCTAAATTTGGTCACTAATTGTGACACGATTACCCGGCCGCGTTTTCCTGAAATTGAATTGACTTATCACACTGCCTTCAATTGCTTACGCGCAAATTCAGCTCAATGTTGTTTGCAACTACGAGTTGGATACAAGACGCTGAAAGGCGATTGAAAGGCGTTGGATTTCAAGCAAAACTAGTTACTCTGGGATACTGGACACACAAAAGTACCCATTTATGCTTTGTTCTTCAAGCACAGCCTATGCGTGGTTCCCCTTCCCCCTTTCACTGCTGACTTGCTGTAAAACGCCGTTACCATTCATTGACAGTAGACGCTCATCCAGCAATAAATAGCTGTGACCTTGTATCACGTTCCTACATCCTCACTTTCAGCGCGTTGACTTCGTGCGCTTTCTCTCTCTATCTTTTGCGTCCATGACCCACACATTCTTCACTCTGCAACAGGATGTTTATAAGACTGATCATGGACCCATAACCGTTGAAGACGTCGACGAGAACAATGTTTCTTCTCTAGCCTTCCAGCGTCTTATCAACTCAGCTCCAGGCGCCTCCGTTGGTGTGGCGGCCACGTATCGCCCTGACTGTTCCCTTTCTTCTTTAGCATTTGCAACACCCAGCCGAGCGCTCGTCATCCACTTTTTTGCTGCGAATAAACAGAATCAGCAACAGCAGAAGAAACAGAAGAAGGGCCAGGAACAACAACCTCCGGTTTCCCGAGGACGCATGCTCATGCAAGACCAAATTCTTTGTAACATTGGCATTAAACTTTATGGATACAGGATAGACAGAATCGCACTTGCTCTCTTCCTAGACCTCTCGCTTCGTATCAATGGCGCAGTTGACATCCTGTCGGTGTCTACCAGTGATCGGCGCTCACTCCAGGCAATCATGAATGCCTTGGGCGGCGAGGTCTTACTCCAGAAGGACAACGTGAAAACCCTGTTCGCTCATAGAGAAGGGGACGCAGTATCCAAGGATGTGGCGCTCCAGGCTTGGGCAGCATGTCGCGCCGCCACACTTGATGACATGACGCTTAGATTTGCTGCTATATCTCGAATCGACACAGACACGATGCCAGATATAGTACGTAGTATTCGTCACGTCATAGACATCTCCTTCTAATTCATCATGTAGCATCTGAAAGCCCTCACCAAGATCTCTCGCGATGCTGAAATTTTGGAGTCTTTGAAGCCAACGAAAGTCGTCAACAATGTCAAAGCAGACTTCAACTCCAAGAAGGGCAATGTCAACCTCGAGTGCACTCGCTTCAGTACGCGTATCATGAGGTCTAAAACTCAAGTATGTGAATTCATGGGACGTCATGCCACCAACTTTAAACGTTTGCACTCATAGGTCATCCACATCGAAACACTGAACGGAGATCAGCGATCAACAATCACTGGTCGCGCAGGGCGAATAGACGGAAAACAGGCTCATATCAACGTCAAAGGCGCTGTAAATGCTTCGGGCAAGGTCCTCTCCGTGACCACCATCGGGAAAGAAGACTTGACGGCTGCTGAATCAGAAAGAGAAGTTGTAGTGCTAAAGGCGCTTCAGGGCACCATCACGTTGACCGAACATCCATTCTTCTGTAGTATCTGGGCGCCGTCATTAAACATCCCATGGCCGCCTCTGCATGCTCTCACCGCGTCATTCGTCTACTATCCTAACGGTCAATTGAACCCCTCGCAATATCATGCAGTGGAGCGAATTATTTCGCAAGCGGACGGGGAAGATCGTGTATTGCTTATTCAAGGTCCTCCTGGTACTGGCAAAACAACGGTCATAGCGGCCAGTGTCAACAGTATGATCAACACTGGCCCTATGGAGCGTACGATTTGGCTTGTGGCGCAGTCGAACGTTGCCGTCAAGAATATCGCAGAAAGCTTGACAAGGTTGGCTTCCGTGATTTTAAGTTGCTTGTATCGAAAGATTTCCATTACGACTGGTATGTCGCGCCTTTCTCACCTCCCCGTCACACTGAGTTTGTGTCTCAGGCATGACACCTCTACGAGAGACTGGAACATTTTTTTATACGATCCGACATGTTCGGTGGTGGGCCGTGACCGTCAGCCGACTTTTGCTCGACACAAGAGTCATACTTTGTACATTGAGTATGCTGTCCAATCCTCGTATCGAAGAATTTACTCGTCAAGTTCCGGTTCAAACCGTAATATTTGACGAAGCAAGTCAAATCGAAGTGGGAGACTACCTGCCGCTGCTTCAGCGTTTCCAACACAGCCTCCAAAAAATGGTGTTCATCGGTGACGACAAGCAACGTGAGACCCGGGTAGTTATTCCATCGTTGACCTGTACTGACTAGGATATCAGTGGCACCATTCGGCCAAGATGACATTGGGCAGCTACGAAGTGTTTTTGAGTTCCCGCACCTTCGAAAGCGGGCACACTTTTTAAATACTCAGTGTAAGCTCGTATCTCGACTTCATCCTCGTTGTTTCAACTTTATTATCCAGACCGCATGCCACTCGTCATTGGGACCTTCATTTCCCGTCATGTATATGGTAACAAGTTGATGACCGTCCACGACATCGCTAGCAAAGCAGCATGTCGTTTCCTGGATCAAAAGGGGGCAGGAGCAGAAATCGGGAAAGAGTTGGATAGTACGCTTCTCCTCTTTATACTCGTGGTATGCCTGCCTTACGTCTTTTGCATTAGAATCAGCAAGAAATATCTGTGGTTATCCACCTCGCCCGTATATACAACAAGCAGGGCAAGCAGTACAGGATCCTCACTCCATATGATGGCAGAGGTCTACGATCGAACGTCAACTTGAATTAGCGAAGCTTCCGTGGGAAGACAAGTGCTTCAACGTGGACTCCTTCCAAGGCAAGTAGTTTCTTTGACATGCTGGAAGGATCTGGCTGACACTCGCCGCAGGAAACGAGGAAGACCACATAATCGTCTCTCTAGTCCGTACCCAAGGTGTAGGGTTCTTGAAGAACTCGCGCAGGACGAATGTCATGCTGACACGATGCAAGAAAAGCATGATCATTTGCACGAACCGTGATTTCGTGACGAAGGGTAAAGCAGTAAGCACGCTGTCGGGCAGCTTGCTCTTACCATGGGCCCTGATTCCTGGTTGGACGGTCGTGATATAGTTAATGGCATCTTAAGGTGATTTGGACTATTTACATCGCACTTCTTGGCTGGGTTTTGGGACTTTCTTGTCACACTTGCACTGCATTTTGTATTATATGGCAATTTGTGTATGTACATTCTGTAAGTCAGGGTATATAGAGACTCATTATATTGAATCGTATGCATACGGGAACTTGTACTTGGTGTGCGCATCGATGTTATAAACCATAGATACTCAACCATCCAGGAGGCCACCTGGTATTAAGGTCGGATACTGAGTACTGACCCCCCGAAATCTGTCACTGCTCTACAGCAATACACTGACGACGAGAGTCACGTACTATGAAACGTCGGTGGGTGGTGTACTACTGCATAAACCCTCTATGGTAGAACCCCCCAACGCTTTGAAGGTGGACAGAGTCCGCCCGAACTTACTGATAGCTTGAACAACCACTGGTAGCGCTGCCACTGATCTGGGCGCCATTGACGGTGTTTGGACTTGGGCATAACGTCATGATGTTGAGGGAGCTAGGCGTTATCGTATGT